CCTGCTGAAGCAGCCATCTGGGCAATATGTTGGTAAGCATTTCGATCTTATCAAACTGTTCTGTTTTCTGGCAGAGTAAATTCCAATTTCAAATTTGATCTCAGATTTGTTGACGATATATGGTCTTGAAACTTTGATTAGTGTTTTAGATGAAGTATTTCATAGCTTGAAATTGGTCTAAGTTAGTTTTGATGTGTTTAGTGAATGTGGTAATTACATACGCAACACTCGAAGTATTGCTATTTACAGGACCAACTTGGGTGATTGATTTTCTAAACTATTGAACCGATGCATATATTTTTGCCTTATCAAGAATTTGACAAAAATAAAATATATGGATTCGGGTTTTATGTTGAATTTTAATATTTGAGTGAGAATTTGAAAAAAATTCATGAAAGATGGTGCTAGATCTGTACATAGCAAGCTTTAACGACAGCTTGTATGCCTTTCAGAGAGTGTGTGTGTAAATGCCACGTTTATTGATTGTCAATTTTAACCTGCTTTAACAACTTCTATGCCTTTCAGTATGTGTGTGTGTGTGTGTGTGTGTGTGTGGGCTACACACACAAATGAATAAGGAGCTACGTTAGAGTTTGATTGATAAATTATTTTTATTGTATGTTTGTGTGTATGTGATAAAGAATCTTTTTGTGAATATGTTTCATCAAAGTTCTTTTATGAAGAATTTTTTGTCCTTACTGGCTTAAGTTGTGATTCTGCATGAAGCTAAAAAATGCTATAGAGGATGCATTAAGGGCGGCAGTGGTGTAGCAGTGCGATGCCGCACTGTAGCTTTTCCTATTTGGCAAAATTGCTTTTTGTCTATTTTCTCTAAATTTTGCAGGTAAAAATTATGTTTTCCCACCAGACTTTGCTACCTGCGGTGGCTGCTAGAAAGCTACGATCTGACTTCTTCAAAAAAAAAAAAAATTATAATAGTCACCGTAGTTTTTTGAACAACAATTTCTTTCTCAGCAGTTTTACAACTTCTTCAAACAACTGCAGCTGCCCCCAAACAGACCCTAAATCACTTTATTAAAATATGTTTATTGTCGTCAAATTTGAATAAATCAAAGTGGACATATAGGATCAACATACATTATGGTCAAAGTAGATTGTGACACTAATGTTCTCAATCATATATCGCATGATATCAATATTTTAGAACCTAGGATAATTTCATCACTATCATTTTCTTATTTTTCTCTATTTCTTGAAAAGTAGTAGGGAAATAAAAGATTGATATATGCATATATTAGCATAGATTTAGTGAACTATGTGACAATTTTAATTTAAATAAGGTTTATGGAACCATTGAATGTTAAACTAGTTCAATCACTAAGAGTTATCAGATGTCATTGAAGTATTAAGTGTGGGTCATGTAATATGTGATATCTAAGAAGGTTAATGTGGAGGGGGTTGAGGTGTATTGATGATACTGATGGGTGGAGTGGTGGTGATTATAGTTATAGTGGGGAGTATAGGGGAGGTGCATGGGCTTGATGCTTTGTTTTCTCTCCTACTGAAAATGGATGATATTGAACTAAAAAAGCCTCATCACCACCATCAGATTTCATTTGTAATGAATTTTTAATAATCATCAATTAAAATTAGAGTATATTAAAAAAATGATAATAATGTTTACTTAAAAATAAGGCCAATTAAGAAATTCAAATTAAATGAAATCAATAGCATGAAAAGCTAAATGTAAATGCAAAATATAAATACCAAATAGTATCTCATCTAATTTAGCATTAGTGATGTTTAAAATTTGTTCATCTTTTGTATCATCTATGAATTTTTAGCATTGAATTCATGAATCTCTTCATAATCACCCATGGTCACCTATGCTTGTTATTGAATTAATATCACTAATAGATTTAAAGAATTCTAGAAGTTCTTTTATTTTAGGCATAGATTTCTTTAATAGCCCAACAATCTGATTAAAATAGATCTAACACTTGCTAAAATATGTTTAAATGCAAGTGATTTTGATTTTTTTTTAAAATTTGGAATTGTTAGCTCGTATATTATTCGTTGTTGTATGATTCACTTTTCAAATAAATCTCCCTCTCAAGTTATAGAAATGGCCAAAAGAGGAAATAGATCGAAAAAAATAATATACGATGAAAATAAACAAACAAATTTAAAAAGAAACTTGAAAGAATCATGTAAGAAAATCATTGTAAGATAAGTCGAGAGTATACGTCTAAACAGAACTAGATCGATTCACAAAGAGAATCTCTATGTAAGCCACTCATAACGAGAGAACTAAAAAAAATACATTTTTGTTCGGGGGTCAAGAGAACTCTCAAAAGAAAGTATCATTTTGGTTAATTATATTTTTTAGGATATTCAAGAATACTCTCAATAAAAGGGGTTTTGCTTACATTTTTATGATAATTGATGAATAGGTCACCAAAAGGATGGTTATTTCAATTGGGAACATCTCGATGCTTTTGAAGCCTGCACCTACTCCTAAGGCAGGGGTGAATCATCGTGTCGATTGCGGGTGATAGCTAACTCGACAAGCAAGACATATGAAATAACTTAATTATCTCAAATAAGATTTAATGCCTACACGAGAGTGTAAGAGTAGAGGGTGAATAATCGTATCCCAAACGAGTTGCAGCTTAACGATAAAAAGAGTCTATGATATGATAATAAAAATAACAAAATGATTGATAAGGCTCAAAAGAAGTATATCAATTAAAAAGTAGAATCCTAATCGAGTAGAGATAGACATTTAGGACACCAGACATTTGTCATCCCAAGCTATTAGGATCCTAAGTCTACTTGGTTATGACGACGGAGGTAAGCATTTGGTTGGCTTAGATGTATTGGATTTGAAATTGTTCAAACCAATTAGAACCGATATTCATAATCCAAAAAATTGAACCAATCTTAATTTAGATAAAACTGAATCGACAGAATTGAAATTTAATTTGGTTTAAACGGGTTGTTTATGAAAAAATTGATATTTAATTATTTATTGACATTTGACAAAGAACAAGCATTACGAGTCACATATTTTATTCATATAATATCAATTTGTGATCATAAATCCTTTATTAATTTCAATCAAACATTATATACAATAAAGTTTTGATTTTTTTAGTTTATTCCACATGATATTAAAATATAATAAAAATTTTTAATAAAATTTCAGTTTTTCGCTTTATTCGGTTAAATGAAAATTAAAACCAAAAAGAAATATGAAAACTAATTATTGAAGTTTTAAAAATTGAAAACCTAAATTTAATTTTGAAACCAAACCAACCAAACTTGATTAGTTACGTTAGGTTTTTTGGTTTTGACCAAATAATGCATAACCCTTCATGAAGGTAGTCGACCCAACTTGACGAGAGATCCATTGCCAGTAATCCTTGAATGGAATCATCAAAGGGGACTCTTGGTAGCTCTAAGGCAAAGAGAAGGATACTTTATGTTCCATGACCCTTTGTAGGTAGAGTATGTAGATGTGAGACTTAAGCCACTGGTGTGAAAAGGAAAAGAGAGGTTCAGCTACAAAGCTGAAACAATCCCATGAAAGAATTATACCCAATTTGGGTCGAGGAAGCCTCTAACATCCTAATCATATTAGACAACCCCCTAAGTATAAATCATATGCTTGGCCATGCAGGTTGAAGTAGCATGGGGGCTTCTCGGAACATGCAAATATGATGCAAATCTCTATCAAGTCCTAATTTGGAGGCACTATCAAGAATGACTTGGGTTATGTCCATGCTATGCAAACCATTTTAAATCCTAAATTTTGATTTATCTCTATCTTTAATTATTAGGATTTTTATAGAAAAAGAGAATATTTTAGGCCCTTAAAGAGCCTAAATTATATTTCGCTTGATTCTTAGACAAACCACAAGCCACGAGAAAGTGAAAAATCTGGAAACAACATAAAATAAACAAACCAAATATATAAATAACAAAAGGTTGGGTGCCGCTAGGTCGACAACATATCCTAGAAAAGAAAAAAAGGTGGTCAAGCTCCACTATAAATACTTGTTCTAAAGCTATACATCAAATAAACTTAGAAGTAAGGTACAAGACCCAAGCAACTTTTCCTAGTCCCCATCACGTGGTTCTCTGTGCCAAACCCCTCCAAACTTATGCTCGTACCTTATTTCTAGTACAGACTCAGCTTAGGGACTTAAAAAGATACATATAAAAGTTAAAAAAAAAGACTCGACTTGTAAAATAAGAGTTAACACTGGTTATATCATGCAACGTGAAGTAGACTATGTCCAATGGGGAAAAGAACTCAACAACATATGTAGAAAAGATGTTAGCATAAACTATCATAGCCCTTCCCTTGTTGGACATGGCACCCTATAGAAGACCGCCCTAAATATACTAGTTCGCAAGTCCAAACCAAGTAAACACACGAAGCATCATACAAAATGTCTGGTTGGGGCGCAAATTAAGGAACAATTGTCAGGACATGAGAAACCTAGCTACACTCTAGCCCAAGTCTAGAAAACATCTAAACACAAAGTGGTCTAGTTATAACATCCTAGTATTTGCAATGTGGGTAAAAGCTAGTGTATGACTTTGACGGGGTCGTCAACATCTGCCCAATCCTAAAGATTCAAGAGAACTAATGAGCATCACTTGAAAATGACAATTTAAAGTTGTGACCTCACATGTGGTCTAAATCCTATAATTTTAAAATAAGGCGGAGAATACATAGTAGAAAATTTCCGTTATTTTATTTTATTTTAAAATATGACCATTAAATGTGGGTTAGTATCATGAAAAATGACGCACTTTAGAGCTCTTGAATCATTAGCACAATCATATATATGTTCATTATAATACAAAAACTTGCATTGTTCGTTGAGATATCCTCACGATTAATGCTCATTTAAGTATTACGACAAACAATTGGTCACTCTTCTAACAAGGCTGACTTGCCGTCAAAACGGTTGAGTAATGCACTTTC